TGTGGTGGTGTTGCGTAAGAAGTATTGCGACGTTGTTTTAGTGGGGGAACTGCGGCGCTCGGTGGGGTGCGGCGCTCGGTGGTGAAACACGTTAACGCTAGATTATGTGTGATAACTAGCGTATCATAGTCTGCGTTGCCGAGAACTCTTCTGGACGCATGCATTACTTGTACTTCTAGCTCTTCTGCTTCTGCCCATCGCCCTTGACAATGGTATGTTCCCGCTAGGGTGCTCATGGTTTTTAGCGTATCGGGATGCTCTTTGCCATACACTTTCTTATTCGCCTCAAGTACCTGAACTTGTAGCCTCTCTGCCTCTTTATACCGACCCTGAGTGAAGTGTGCCAACGCTGGATTATGTATGATAGCTAGCGCATTAGGATGCTCGTTACTATAAATTCTTCTTGCCGCATGCATCGCTTTTACCACTAGCTCTTCTGCCTCTAGCAATCGCCCTTGTTTCTTGTACGTCCAAGATAGGTCGTTCATAGCCCTCAGGGTGTCAAGATGCTCTTCTCCAAGCAATCTCCTCGCCTCTACCACTTGGACTTGTAGCTTTTCTGCCTCCCTATATCTTCCGTCAATACGTAGAGTCGTAGCACATCTCTCTGCGAGAAGCAGTCTATTTTTTTCATCAACATCTGTCCAAATATGTGATAGAGCGCTCTGAGTATGCGGAAGTAATCGTCTCCATTTACTTCTGTTTATGTAGTCACCGTTTGGAAATACAAAAAGTAGTTTTGCAATAGCGACTTTAATGCACTCTTCAAGCTTTTCTTCCCTTTGCAGCAGGTTGCGTAGAGCTTGATAGACTGGTCGATGAAGATCCAGCGCAGAATCAGCAGGTCGTCTGATGATGAGCGCATACTTGTCTAGTATCCTGATTGCATCTTCTCTTTTTCGTGTTAGATTTGCCTCTAGGATATCAAGTGAAATATCTTTCCGGTCTAAACATGCAGCGACACATAGATATTGTTCAGCTAGCTCATGCCTATGGAAAAGTTGGCCGACGGAAAGATATAGCGTAGCAGCAATAGGATCTCTCCTGTTAGATTCCTGCAGCTCACCCTTAGAAGAGTCATCACTATCTTCGAGAGCGGGACCTTTGAAACCGTCTAGTTGTAGTCGGTACTCCTGCAATGTCATCCCGCTCGCACTTATACAGGCTATTGCTTGAATGATTGCTAGAGGGAGATATGACAGTTCTCTTAGCAAACATTGAGCTACCTCTTGTTCAGTGGTCGAGAGTGGCCTTGCTAAGCGGATCTGCAACATCCTCAACGCGGTATCGGGTGTTAATGCTCGCATTTCTATGAGGTTTTGTGGAGCGAGAGCTTGAGCTGTGTCGCTGTCTTTGGTAGTAAAGATAATGGAGCACAGCTTGCCCTGTGGAAGAAAGTCGGCCACTGGGTTTGCGGCTTCTGTTGTGGACAACTCGCTAGATAGCAGAGCGGTTTTTTCGATGTTGTCGAAAATCAGCAAACACTGCCGTGTACTGATATCTTCCACGCAGCGTTTTGCAAGTTTCTTCATGTCGACCTGAGCATCGTCCCACCCAGTGATATTGAGTTTCTGCGCAACCCTTGCGCATGAGTGGTAGAGACTATCTGTATCAGTCGCGTTTATCCAGAAAACTGAGCAGTTCTTGCTGTTTCGCTTCATTCTGTGTGCAATCTCAAGTGCGAGCTGAGACTTGCCCGTTCCCCCAGGTCCAACAATCGCTATTGCAGTAGTGGTAGTTTGTTCGTTGGTGAAGAGCTTTGCTTCTAGCTCAGCGAGCTGTTCCTCTCGGCCGACAAATCGGGGGTTTTGGGCGAACGGAATAATCGATGGTACATCACTAGCTTCTTCTAGTTCAGTCTGCAGTCTAATTACTGCACTCTCCTTTCCTTCGCCATACGCGGTAGGCATAGAGACACCAAGAATCCTAAACAGGCAGTACACGATATCTTCCTCCTCCTTTGTTTTGCGGCCGTTGACCCATCTTCTTCGCTTAGATATACTGAATTTATCCAAAGGATCGTTATGTAGTGCCGAGAGCGGGATGCTAGTTATATCGTGCAGTAACTGGCTAAGTGATGCTTTATCGCCTATGCGGTGTCCTTTAACTGAGAAGAACTCGACTGATACTGGTGCAATTAGTTCTTGGAGTGTCCATCCCCTGGTAAACCATTTGCTTCTCTGAAGTAATGCTTCCTAGTCGCTGCGCTGGACTGGCTCTGTTATAGCTGACACTGACACGTCTAATGAGAAGACGTAGCACCGTGTGGCGCGTTTATACTACTTAAATATCGAGTTGATCGCATTCGAGCGTTCTTTGTTATTCTACTTGTTGATATAATATGTATCGATCTAGAAGTACTGTAAATCGTCATGCGCTGCTTTGTGGGCATAAAATTCAAGCTTTCGATTGCCTTGTTCCTTCGTGCCGTAGGTTCCGTCTCTTATGTCCTTAATCAAAACTTCAGAATCGGTCCATCTGTGCGACAGAATGGCGTAAGGCGGAATTGTCTTGCCGTAGAAATCTGTTAAGACGGGCTTTCCCAGCGCGTTGAAATGAAGGAGTCTCATGGCATTAGTGGCATTGGCCTACTCTCTGAAATCCAAGCGTAAACAACGTAGACAGTATCGAGAATAGCAAGGTGTATTGGTAATGAAGAGAACTAGATGGAGAGGGATCAAGATGGGCTACGGTCAAGGCTGCCTGGCGAGGCAGTGCATGCGACCAGGCTAAGCGAATGCTAGACCAACAACTCATAGCAGGAGCAGCCTGGGGCTGAGTATTCAAGCCACAGTCATGCTTGCTGAATATGAAGATAATGACCTGCGTACCGCTCTAAACAACGAGAGAACGCGTAGAAGTTGAGGCCAGCTTCTGCATTTACAGAGGCAGAGCAATATCGTGGTGCTGCCAGGAAGGTGAGGGGGACGCGCGATCGTATGTGACCATGAAAGGTGGAGGAATAGCTACAACTCAGAAAATCTGAAACATTGAGGGAACGTGATGAGATAAGGTAGGCTAAGGTGAAGGATAAGGATCAGAGGCGGTAGACGAGGCTTGCAGCGAGCCTGATGGGGCAGAGGGAGGAGAAAAAGACTATTGAAAAGGCTTCGAGGATCGTATCTCACCAGGCTACATGACTTCAAAATCCATCAAAACCTCTAAAAAATGAATAGAAGGAGTTTCAAGGCTTCTATAAAAGCTATTGAAGAAAAGGAAGCCTATCGTGAGTCCTCGGGGTAGTAAGGCACCTGAGGAAGGTCGTGAAGGCTCACCACTTCAAACCTCACGGCGCAGCCGCGCAATCATGATTCCAACTCAATCTCTATAGATGGATCTATATGTCAAGGCCTGATAGACTTAAGACGCTAGAGTACGGCGATGATAATTCTGTAGCGCGAGTCTATGGCCATATTTATGAGGTTGTCCTGATGAGGCCGCGCGTGCAGGACAGACGTCTCGTGCACGGTGTGGTGGGTCTAGTTACTAAATAGTACTACAAACTAGTACGTAGTGATCCTTGTCATAAGTCGGCCAAGGAACCAGGCTCATGACAAAAACGATCGGTCCAAGCCAAGTCTCGGATCCGATTACACGGACTTAAACCAGGAGTGAGCTGGTATCAGCTAATGGCTGTGGACAAGTACGCCGTCCCAACTAAACATGTCGGATATTGTTGGCCGCCGATGTCACACATGCGACGCTTTGCTTTCCCAAATAAGTCACATCATTGTATTTTTTTAAATAATTTTCCTTCTCTCTCCGGATGATCAAAGGTCGTCGTAAGACCCAAGGGGATGGCCTAGTCCCGAATGATGCTGAGAATAGGTCGGAGAGTTTACGTATCAAAGGGTCCCTCAGTTGACATGATTTATGCTTACCACACAAATTTATTATTATTTTCATCAGAATTCACATCTTATATCAAACAGAATCAGGGGCTTTTCGGAACAATAGCCAGATGGCAAGTTGTCACAAACAACAAGAAGGATTCCATCGTAATGAATCAAGTACTTCTGGTTATTTTTGGCCACGCGGATCTTCCTATTTCGGATTCCGCGTAATAGTAATGGATACATCTTGCGATGAATTTCACCGGTTTCATAATTCATGCACTGATACTTGGATCGTATTCGGATATGTTCAATGATTCATACATTAGATCTGATGATATTTTCTAGTTATATAAAAACCTTATTGTGGCACCAGAATTGAATATTGTTTTTTGATACATCACTACACACCATCACAACGCGCACTATCACTACATTTACAATGACAGTTCCTCAGCCTAAAACAGCAGCATCGACTATGCAGCGCAAACCCCCTACGGGAATGTCTGTGCTGGTAGTAGGCTCTGGATTGGGAGGCTTGACATTTGCAATTGAAGCATATCGACAAGGCCATGATGTCCAAATCATCGAGAAGCGACCCAAGCTTGAAGACTTTGGTAAGCTCCTAATAGCCGCTTGCAAAACAAGTCTAACTGAATTCGCACAATAGGTGAAGCCATGATAATCCAGGCGCCAATTCACAAGGACTTCAAGGCATGGCCAGGCTTTTTAGAGAAGGTGCTTAAACACACAGTCCAACCCTCTGAAATCCATTTGTTCCAGCATAATGGAAAGAGTCTGGGCAATTTTCCACTTGGAACTCCAGAGCTTCCCTCTCTAGCTGTTAATCGACTTGGTATGCACATCGAGCTTGCGCAATACGCGAAAGATTTAGGGATCGAGACTCAATACTCAACTCATGCCGCTGAGTACATGGAGACTGATGATGCCGGGGTTGTGGTTCTGTCAGACGGTCGCAAATTGACTGCAGACGTAGTTGTCGCAGCCGACGGTGTTGGATCGAGGTCATGGAAGTTGATTCTCGACAAGTTCGAGAAGCCCGTCAGCTCAGGGTATGCAATTTACAGGGCAGATTTTCCTACTAGCGACGCTATGAAGAACCCCATCATTGCAGAATACTTCAATGGGGCTGAAACCAGGATGGAGCTACATTTTGGACCGAATGCTCACGGCGTAATAACGAAAATGCCGCATCGTATTTCCTGGGCCTTGACCCACAAAGTAATGTCACCCCCTTGAGATCTAGCTTATGATTTCCTTTCTTTTTCTAATGCTAACATATTTATAGGATACCGGGCATGCAAAGGAAGATTGGTGGTGGACTACCTCAGCAGACGATGCATTACCATTCGTGGAGACATGGTCACCGTTCGTGAAAGAGATTATCAAATTTACGCCAGGTAATTCGTGCATTGACTGGCAGTTGATGTGGCGCAACCCGCAACCAAAGTGGGTTTCACCAAAGGGACGCGTAGTTCAGATTGGTGATTCCGCACACACGTTCTTGCCCAGCTCTGCAAGCGGTGCTAGTATGGCCATGGAGGATGGTTTCTCGCTTGCAGCTTGTCTGCAGATGGCCGGGAAGCAAGAAATACCTCTTGCCAATCGAGTTCACAACAAGCTAAGGTAGGCCATCGAGTCCCTATTTCTACTACAGATATTTTTATATAGTACTAAATGTAATAGATTTGAGCGTGTTGCATGCGCCCAAAAGATGGGCTTCAAGAATCGCCAGAAGTTCCATACCTCCGATTCTGCCAACGCTGAGGAGAACCCAGAAAGCATTGGGAATTTCACTGGGCAATGGCTTTTGCGTCACGACCCCGTGGGGTACGCTTACGACAACTTCCAAGCTTGCGCAGACCATTTGCTCTGGAGAACTGAGTTTAAGAATACAAATCTCGTACCAGGGCATACTTTCAAACAGTGGACCGTGACGGAATTTCTTGAAGCTCAAGAGCAAGGCAGGGTTGTTGAGGAAGATGGAGACTGGTCCTAGTGAAAAGGACCTTTGTACTTGCTAGTAAAGACATAAGCTATCTTCTTCAAGAATTAGACATTTCACTCATTGGGCAGTATATAGAGTAGACAGTAAGTTTCATCCTTGCTAAATCAAACTTTTATCTTTCGAAACAGGAACTACGAGATAGTTTGGGGCTGATATTCATCCTCTATTACCCAATCACAAACCATATTTAACATTATTCTTAACAAATGCAGCACATACACACATCCAATCCCCCCCCCCCCCCCTTCATCTATTAGATATTACCCCCTCCCTCACCCCCTCCAACATCCACCTCGCCTCTTCAAACCTCCAAACCGCATCTTCATACTCCCTCTTCTTCCCCTCCATCTCCAACCTCCTGACATTAAACTCGTGCACAGCACGCTGTGCCGCACTCAGATCCGTCTTTGCACCCCAACTTCCACTTCCCTCACCCTCTGCCACTTCCCTCCCCTGCTGCTGCTGTCCATCCAACCCAAACTCCACACTCGCACTCACACCCGCACTCCCAAGCTCATCCCTCAACCGTCTAAACAACGGCGTAAAACTACTCAGCACCGCCCCTTCCGCCTCCGCCTCCGCAACCGCAGATATGCCACTCTGGGCCGTAACAATCGGCGCCAGCTCCACCCGTCGCTTCTGCATCAAATACCCCTGCGCCTGCACCTCTTCCCTTGCTGCCATGTCCTCAATCGAATTCCGCACACCCTCTCCATTCTGCTCTCGTTCAGATGCGTACAAGTAGACAGAGTCGGCACGATCCCTCTGAGCCTCACCCGTCAACCCAACACAGCTCATCTTCCGCGCACTCCCACACGCCTTCTCCACATCCCCCACTTCCAGCATTCCAGCTGCACCGCCTCTCTCGCGCATCCTCGCTTGAAAATACGTATTTAACAGGTTATACGCCCGCTCGCGCTGGCCGAGGGTCAGGGTGGAGAGGCGGTGTATGGCGGTGAGCAGGGTGGTCGAGAGGTGTGTTGGGGGCAGGTTGGCAAGAAGGGAGGGCGGGATGAGGTGGGGGTCTGATGGGGGGATTGACCAGTTTTGGCGTATGGAATGGAGGAGGTGGGAGGGTGGTGGTGTTGTTGGGTCCATTTTGTGTGTGTGTGGATTTTGTTTTCGGAGATTTGAGCGGGAGCTTTTTGGGTTTTTTTGATGGTTTGGAGGGATGTTTGGGGTGTTTGGGACAAAGGAGGGGTTTAAGATATAAAGATGTTTGTAAAACGAGGCTGAGTCTTTGTTCGTGGGTTGGGGTGGAAGTGTGGCTTTGTTAGGTTGGGGGTGGGAAAGTGGCTGAGACTGAGTAACAAAAATGTAAAGAGACACTGTGCAAATCATGAACGGTTGCTGAAGAGAATCTTGAAATGTGCTTCAAATAGTATTCGATAAGTTAAGAGCAATTGGTCTATGAACAAAGATTCTAACGTGCGACTTGGCAGTCTATAGAATACATGCAATCGAGTAAACGCTAAACAGAAATGGAGATGGTACAGGTCATAGTGCTTCAAGTCATGAATGCGAGGGAGAAAGATCGAGAGATGAAGCCGAGGAGATTCAGAAAGAATCACAACTCTATCTTCGTCCCAAGGTCAGCTTTGGCGGGTTATGCTCATACTTACAACGAGCATTTGTGCAACCAAAGGGAGTACTTTGCCACTTACAAAGCTTACTCGATGTAGGGGCTATCCTCGGCTTGTTCTTTTTGCTAGCGGCTTTGAGAATTCCATGCAATTGTTTTCCGAGATTCGTCTGTGATTTAGGCTGATTCTGGTATTGTTGCAAACCACCTTGTGACCCATCGCTAGAATCGTCTTGGGCGAAGAAAAGCGGGTCATGGCTGTTATTACATGTTTCATCTGTAAACCTACAGCTGCCTTTGGCGAAGAATGGGCACGGTTTGTGGGCATACATGCAATTTCGGCCTTCATTGCACCTACCACGCAAGTAATTCTGACAGGCCTGCTTTCTTTGTTGGCCCGACTGATAAGGTCCTTGACCGAACCCTGACGGGGCGCTCAACTGACTGAATTGAGGACCACCTTTGTGCGAATTGGGATCAAAAAAGTTAGGCACGGGAGCAATCTTTTTACCGGAGTTCATCGTGGTGGGAGCGAACCTCACCTTTGGCCCACTTGGCACTATTGGAGGCGCATGTTCCGTCAGTATCGGCGGCTGCATGTTTCCGAATGGACTCTGTCCAGTCATTGGGTTCGGATCTTGCTGTGGGTAGTCATCAAGACTCATTAGGTCTACCTCGGAATATTGAGAGGGTTGGGATTGAGCGTCACGTTGCCCAAGGAAGAAGGGGTCGTGGCTTCTATTGCACTTCTCCCGATACTTGCAATTGCCACTCAACCAATGACGGCAAGGTTTATGGAGAAGCTGGCATTTCTTGCCTCGTCTACATGTGCCCAGTTTGAAGTCACGACAAGCTTCTTTAAAGAAACCGTACGGATTTGCATGCTGTTGTGCAGTTGTGTCTTGAACCGAATGGTTGGCAAATGGGTTAGTATTCCCAGGGTTGAATGGATTCGGGGCTGGAAAACCACCTGAACTAGAGATGGACTTCTCATTAATATCCATCCTGTCAGAATTCTGATCTATGTCCATTGGGAAGTTCCAAGGTTGAGGTGCAGGGAAGCTGCCGGCAGTTGGCACGTGGCTGCCAGCAAGTACACTCGCCATTGCATTAAGCCGTTCGGTTGTTTCTGCCAAAATCTGGCTGGTGTTTGCCGTGACGTTGATGCACCTTGTACACTCAGCGTCAACAGCCATTTTTATTCGCTCGATTTCACTGTTTTGCCGGGCGATGTGCTCGCAATATTCTTTCCGAATCTGGGATGCTACTGCAACCCATCTCTCCTCTTTCAAGCTGTTTTCTGCCTTTTGTTGTGCAGAGGTTGCCTCTAACACACTGATGTTTTGGGTGATCAGCGTGCGTGCTGTCTCGACTTGTTGGAGCTGCTCTTCCAAGAGACCTACCTTGTCTGCCAACAGACCTACCCTGTCTGTCACCAGATCTACTCTCTCTGTCACCCGACTTACCTGCTCCATGCCTTGTTCTAGGAGTTTCTCTATTGATTCTGTATCGGCATCGTTCTGAGGCGGTGGGTTTAGTGGAGGCTTCGCAGTGGCTCTCTCGCCCTCCTGCCGAAGTGTGTCCATGACTGACGCCCTCTGATGGGCCGAAAGCTCTATGGAAGGGGGTGGGGGGTTAAGCCAGGTCTCGATATCCACGACTGTATGCGTGAGATCACCAAGAAAGTGGTAGTGCTTGGAGCTCGCGACGAAATCCCGCACCATTGGAAGACAGGCTTTGGGCAGTGGCGTGTATGGTATGATGGTGCGCCACTTGACACCTTTGGCCAAAGACAAGTGGAGACCAGAGAGACAGTCACGTATAGCAGTGACGGCATCGAGGTCGATCTGGGCATTAGCAGTGATAGCACCTTTGATGAAAAGCAGGTCACATTTGACCGATTCGTAGTGTTGGAGAAACGCATCGACCAGTGCGATCTTGTCATGTCTGGATCGGGGGGTGATGTTTGCAAGACGAGGGATCAAGTGGCGAGCTGCCGTACCTTTTCTGAATTGCCCCTTGGCATGTGCATAGGTGAACATGCAGGTAAGGTCTTGCTGATAGTCTTGTCGGGCATACGAAGTATAGTCAGTGATGCCAGCTTCTTGTTGGCGCAACATGTGTGCCTCAAAACACAAGCGAGCCATGTACTGGTGAGTGTTATTAGGATGATGGGGGTGAAGAGTGCGTCTAGTACCTTTGGGTTATATTCGTCCTTGTCATGGCGTCTCTTCTTGGAGGGAGCTGATGAGGAATCGGGGTCAGGCTTTGTGAGATTATGGTTAGTGAAGCGTAAGCTGGCTGGTGCTTTAGGGGAAAGAGCATACGGAGGTGGAGTCATCGGGAGAGTCTTGCCGCTTCCTCTTCATGGATGTTCTGGGAAGTTCATGTATCTGATGTGTGTCGATGCTGGCGTCACTGTCAGGGGTGGGAGAGGCTTGGTCGGTCATTTTGATTCATATGTTGAAAAGACTAGTTTTTGGGTATACTGAGGCGGGTATAGGAGGCACAAATTGATAGGGACGGAGCGAGTTTGTGGAGAGTGAAGGCAAGACATGGTTTTGGGGAAAGAGCGAGTGGCTTGGCGGGTGGGTCCGTGTTGTGACACAGTGCAGGTCAGCAATCAAAGAGCAGCGCGTGAAAGATGACAGCTGACAAGGGCAGCAAGGCAAACAAGATATTGTTCAGGCAGTGTAAGACGGGAGGTGCACAATGCAGGCGTGAAGAAAGGCCAATGTGAGTGTTGTGGTGGAGGTGGCTCGTCAATGACGCGGACAAGGGCTCGGGGGGGGGAGAAACATTGGGAGGGCCGACCTTGTGCGCTATCCCAAGACTGCGACGACAAAGAGAGGAACCAAGCATTTGGGGTAAGGGAAACCCCGCAATCAACCCCAACACAGCACACAGCGCCGTTCCTTGCCTAGAGCATAGGCCCGGACGCCGGCGCAGAGGGCAGAAGAGGAAACATGTGAGTGTCGATGGCCAGGGGGCGGTGGAGGAGGAGCGGGAGGCGAGAGGCGATGAAGGGAATGGAATTAAAAAAAAGGGCAAAAAAGAAGAAGAAGAGAAAAAATGATGAAAATGATGAAAGTGATGAAAATGATTACAACGACGAGGACCATGATGAAGGCGCGAAGAGAGAAGAGACGAGGAGCGACGGGCGGAAAGGGGGCAGGCAAGGGCAGGCAAGGGCAGGGCAGGCAAGGCGGGCGGCCGGGATAAGGCCTCAGAGTCCGTGGTGGCTCTCAGGCAGTGGGCAGTCAAGGTGCCGTTTGTCGTCCTCGTTGCTGAGCCATGCCCTCAGCATCGTCAACATGCGCAATCCCGTAGCCTGTGTGTCCTGCCGGTCGGCCAAGCAGAAGTGCATCCACGAGGACCGGCCGCCGTGCGACAGATGCAAGCAGAGCGGGCGGGCCGACGCGTGCGAGTTCCCAGGTAGGTTGTTGTTGTGGTGGTGGTGGCCGTGGCGAGGCTGCTGGGGCCGTGTGTGCGTGTGTGAGTGTCTTCTGATTCTGACTGACCGTGAGAGCAGCGCCCGGAACGAGTGCCATCCACCGCAAGCCCAAACGGCCACGGCACTCTGAAGACGCAGGCGATACGCCGCCCTCGCTGCCACATGCAAATGCACACCACTCCACCTCCTTCGCCGCGCCCCAGCAGGGCCGCCGCAATGACGTACCCGTGCCGGTCGGCATCGCTGCCGCTACACAGGCCTCGCCGACGGCGGCATCTGCTGCTGCCCTGCTCGACGGCCTCGATCCCTTCGACCTGCTGACCGACGAGGTCAAGAACAGCTACCTGCGCTGCTCCTACAAGTGGAGCTTCCACCATACCCCCACGCTGCTGCTGCGCATCCGCGACCGCACCCTCGAGCCATGGATGGCCTGGGCGATGCTGGCGCTCGCCATCCGGTATGTCCGCCCTGCCTGCCTGACTGCCTGCCTGCCTCACCCAACACCAACACGAGCACACTGCTGACTCTCCCTCCCTTCCCCTGGTAGCTTCGTCAAAGACCCTCCCCCGCCCTTCCGCACCCAGACTGAGGCCAGCAATGCCTACGCCGCCCATGCCCGCCAGATTCTGCAGCAGGACCTCGAGACGCCCTCCATCAGCCGCGTCCAGGCCCTCCTCATGCTCACTGGCCATGACTGGGGCGCCGGCAATGGCAGACGCGCCTGGATCTACCTTGGCATGGCCATCCGCCTCGTCGAAGTCATGGACCTGACCCGCGAGACGGGCATCCCCCGCAACCGCGTCCCGACCCGCGAGGAGTTCATCGAGGCAGAGGTCCGCCGCCGCACTGCCTGGACCTGCTTCCTCATGGACTCGTTGCTGAGCGGCGGTAAGGGCCGTAAGAGGTCATTGACCGCCGCAGACATGTCCATCCAGCTGCCCTGCGAGCGCGAGGACTTTGTCTTTGGCGAGCCCAAGTGCACCCCCCAGCTCGACAACACGAAGCGCACACCCCCTGTGGCCCTGCCCATTGGCGAAATCGGCATCATTGGCTACAGCATGCGCGCCGCAAACATCTGGGGCAAGGTCGCCCGCTGGGCTTGCAACGAGGACCTGAAGACGGAGCTCCCCTGGTCCTCATCGTCGCAGTTCCAACAGCTCATCTACGAGCTCGAGGGCTGGAAGTCGTCCCTGCCCCAGCGCCTCCAGTACGATCTCTTTACCATTCACAGTCACAATGCCGTTGAGCAAGGCCAAGCCTACTGTTACATGCACTGCATCCACTTTATGAGCTACATGTTCTTGCATCGCGCCTATCTGCCCGTTCTCGGCCCCCATCAGAATGGCGCTGGTGCCGAGGAGAAGCACAACGCCTACGATGAACATCGCGACATGTGGAAAAAGTGGGAGAGGTCTTCCCGGAGAGAGCTGTTCAAGGACGCCGTCATGGTCCTCGACATGCTCGAGGAGATGCGCACGTTCGGTGTCTATTTCCTCCGCGGACTAGTCCCTTGGGTCGGCTTCACCATTTACACTGCCGTCGGCGCCATGCTGTACTCTTTCAACTTCCCCAGTGGTGACGACGACCCTCGCTGGCAGGAAAAGGCTCGAAAGAGCGTCATCCAAGGCTGCAACTTCCTCAAGGAGATGAAGACACAATGGCCAATGGCTGAAACATGGGCAAGTATATGCTATAATGGCAATTGAATGCATGCTAACAAACCCTCAAGTTTGACACCATCAGGCGCATGCAAGCCTACTACCGCTCCGTGTTGGGCCAGGATGGCCCAGCGTCTCCAGAAGAACGCCAAGCTCTCCGCCACGCCATGATTGACTACGGCGCGCTGCAGCCATCACCAGTACAGAAGCCAAGTGAATCTTCTAGAGTTCATGAGTCTCCTTTGGCTCCCTCGGTCCACTCGCCCACGGATCATCAGATTCATGTGAGCTCCCCTGAATCATTCTACAAACTCTGCTAACCCCATCGCCAGCGCAAACCCATAATCGCAAACCTTACAAACCCCTCGCAGAGCAGCCCAATGCCTACCACGGCCGCTACGCCCAGCAGTTACACTCCCAATGTGTCCTGGAACACACCACCAGCAGTTCCACCTCTTGAAGCAGACGAGACTTTCAACCTTGATTCCTTTGACCTGACAAACGAGGAGCTCGAGGCCATGATGATGAATGCTACCCAAGAATTCTGGGCCAGTTTTCCAGGTGAGGTTGGAGTTGGATACTAGGTGGTGGGGTTTCGTATTTTCAAGTCAGCGTAAAAGTTCGGCTTCTTGTAGGATAGGTTGTTTTGGCGCATGAATTTTTTCCCCGCAATACTGACAATTATAATGTGCGTTTCTCTGTATCAATGCGGCGAGAAGAAGGGTTTAATTTTTGTCGGCATGTCTTCTTTTAGTCTCGATACATACAGATTGCCTGTTTTAAAGTTAGCTAACACAGCCATGGATTTTACCTGGGCATCGAGTACAGTACGCTACTTAAAAGTATTTCTATCGCAATTCTACATATCAGTGTAGTCATACCCTGACGCTAGCCGAACTTCGCTTATGCATGCGGGTCTCGGTCCACTGTATGCTTTACAAACATGTATGGCTTGTCTTTCCAACTATGCTGAAGCCTCACATCTAATTTCGTTCGCAATGACATCATCTGTACTTCGATATTGCTAATACCCATTTTCACCGACTTGAACACTCGACAACACAGCTGCCAAGTGCAACATTGTACAGCCTAACAGAGACGGCTGCTTGGCAGACAGCAAGGTACTCGCTCACGCACGCAAAAATTGATTTCTTAATTAACACATCTGACCTCAACTGAATGCATGCCTTTTCTCTGGTTCATTAGAAGATGCGATCGTCCTTGCTGCTACTAATTCTAGCTGGGGTAGCATCGGCTTCGCTTGGAGCTGCCGATGGTACAAGCCAAGCTAGCACAACCCAACATCCCGAAAATGTACCGGCGCTGGAGATGGATGAGGCCACGGCAGCTATTGCAAATGCACAGTCAGTACAAAATCCATTAATGATGGGCGCGATGCCATCAAGTCATGTGCCAAGAACAGCCCGCCACAGACATGAGAAAGCTCATCTCATGAAGCGGATGGATCGAAAGAGCGGGAAATGGACAACGAATCATGCACGATACAGACTACTCGAGGCACTTTGGGCATACACCCGATATCGTGAACGACACATGGCCGAGCTTGATCGATGGCGAACCTTGTACAAGAGCGTGAGCAAAAAGCAGATGAAGGCATGCTATTCGGATTGACATGTACCTGAGATAGAACTAATCACTTTGCAGACACTAGAAAATACTATTGGATACAGGAAGAAGCTAGATGAGATTGAGAGATTGATTCTTACCAACGCAGCCATTTGCAGGGACATGGTACAGCATGCCATGCAGTTCTACGGCATCGAGCAGAAAGAGCTCGATGATCACATGTCACTGGCAGAGAAGGACGGGCGTCAAGCAGATAGATTTGCTACGTCGCAAACGCTAAAACACTATGTGCGAGACTGGGCAGACGAGGGGCTGAAGGAGAGAAACGAAGCCTTTCCGTGCATTTTGAGTACTCTAGAAAGTATCAAGTCAGAATACCCAGAAGACACTAAACTCAGCGTCTTACTCCCCGGCTCCGGACTAGGTCGCCTCGGCCACGACATCGCCAACCTAGGGGGTCCGTATTTCCCCTCCTCCTCCCCCCACACTTCCCACTAAATCTCTCCCCCAGCAGGCTTCGAAGTAACCCTCAACGAATGGTCCATGCTCATGAACATCGGCTACCGCTACATGGACTCCCAAACCACCCCCAACACACTAACCTTCCACCCTTTTATCGACGCAATGTCGCACCACGCCACAAAGTCCGACATGCTGCGCCCCATCTCCGCCCCAAACATAGCACCGCACCCAGACGTCCTCCTCGTCGAAGGCGACTTCACCACCGTTCTCGCCGACAAAGAAGGAACCTTCGATATCATTGTCACGCACTTCTTCATCGACACCGCGCGAAATCTAATGTCCTATTTCGATACCATATCGCGCCTCTTGAAACCGGGGGGTCACTGGATCAACTTTGGTCCGCTGCTCTATGGCACCGGTCCTTTTGTCCAGCTTTCCCTGGAAGAGATTATAAGGGTTGTGGAGGCCATGGGGTTTGCGTTTGAGGATCTAGGAGAGGAGTGTGGGGAGTTGACGTTTGAAGGGGGGAAGGTGAGGAGTAGGGAGGCGGAGTATGGGTTTAATGTCAAGGCGTTGACGAGGTATGCGTATTTGGCGCAGGTTTGGAGGGTGAGGAAGGTGTGAAAGACTGATCCCCCTGGGGATGACTAAGCTGGTGGAGGTGGAGGGTGTGGAAAGGGGAGGGGTATGGGGGAAAAGGTATCTTGGTGTGGTTGTTTTTTTTAAAGACGATCTCACGTGATATCATAGGTACACGACATACTATACTTGGATTGAAGAATCAATATCTGGGAGCTAGTCATGTACTTACCGTTTTTTTTCTCCACTTATTAAGCGTAGTATCAGATCCTTTGCCAAGACGATTGACAGGAGGACCCTTATTCTTGGCATGCATGTAGTAGTTACTACGATTGTGGAGATGTTGGACTAATATTTCTGATTTGTTTGTTTTTGGATACGGTGATGATATGTGGGGTTTCTGATCCTAACCCTAATCCTAGCCTGAAGGTTGACCTTGACTCTGACTAGGGTAATTCAGACATTTCACTGCACTGAGAAAGAATTCCAGGAAGCATGTTACGTTTACGCAGCATGAAAGTCACGCAGGTGATAATATTCAAAATATACATCATAACCTTGATGATTTATTGCACCGTATCCTGGTCATAGCTCATAGCTCTACTTCCTTCACATCCGATATCTTCTCCACTCGCTCCGTATCGTTGCTCTTCTCCAGCAACTCGGAGTGGCTCTCCCCGTGAGAAAAAAGACGGTCAACGTCTTCGAGTTCCAAGCCCCTGGTCTCAGGGAAGAACAGGTAGATGATGGGGACCCAGAGAGCGTTGAGGACGGCGAAGATGATGTATGTGCGCCATCCGATGTTGCTGATAGCGTGGGGTGTGATTTGCACAATGATCTAGCAATGTATTAGCACATTTATTTAATCATTCAGAATATGCTCAAACTTACGTAGTTGCAAATCCAGTTCGCTGCCGTCGAAATAGCTGAACCACGCTGACGTAGGCGGAGGGGAAGGATTTCAGATCTGCTTCAAGTCAGTTTCTTGCCGCCTTGAATATTCAGCGGGGATAAACTTACGGGTACACCCAAACGGTGGCTTGGAAACCAATGGTGAACGCTCCCTGGAAGATGAATAGCATGGCAGCTGCAGCGATACCCGCACCATGAGCCGAGGCAGTCTTGAATTGCACCTGGTAGATAAGAGCAGCTTGTACTGCCATGACGGCCGCCATGACGCTGATCATGGATAGCAGGAGCGGGCGTCTGCCGATCCTGTCAATTAGGAACCAGGGGATGAAGGATGCGACGAAGAACCAGGTTTGCAGGAAACCACTCATGAGGGCGGACATGTGAGTGTCGAATCCGATGCTCTTCTCAAAGAGAGTGCCAGAGTAGTCTGTATCTCATCAGTAGAGTTTTGTGGTATTGCTAATACAGAACTTACAGATGATAGCGTTGATACCACCGAGTTGCTGGAACATCTGAATAGCACAAGCAATCAAGAAACGCCTCCTCGACTTGATAGGGTCGCTCCTGAAGATATCCTTCCAGCCAGCTTGTCGCGACGCCTCGTAGGCAACGGTTTCAGTAATGGTTTGGTGGAGTCTCTGGACTACAGCGTCGTTTTCGCTGGTACCTTGGATGCGTGCCAACACCGACAGACACTCTTCTGAGCGATCGTGTGACGCGAGCCATCGAGGTGTCTCGGGGATGACTGTTGTAAGGAAGAGAATGCTGAACAGAATAATGCATTGAAGGATGGTCGGAATTCTCCAAGCATAGCTCGAGGTGTGGTTGACAAAACCGTAGTCGATCCAGTATACGAGGAAAATACCAAAGTTCAAAGTGGAAAGTTGTGCGCAGACGTAAACACCGCGGCTGGTCTTCGGACTGAACTCGGCTTGCATGACGGGCACCGTAGAGTTTATTATACCGAGTCCGACTCCAGAGACGATGCGGCCGACAATGAGATGGGCTCGGCCAAATGCGGTGGCTTGTAGAAGGGCGCCGATCATACTGATTACGGCTCCGATGGCGACACTCTTGCGGCGACCAAGGTTCTCTCCGAAGAAAGCTGTGGCCATGGCTCCGACAAAGCAACCAACTATAGTCGCTCATTAGTATGTGTCCAAGTCTATAATTTCTCTGGTCACTTACTCTCAAAAATAGCAACAATAGTTCCAATCATGTCCGACGACGGATTATCAAACGTCTTCCTGAACGCCGGCGCACCGACCAGACCGCCCATGAGTCCATTGTCGTACCCAATCAACATGAACCCGAGGGAGGTAAGAAGATTAACAGTGAGCAAAAGCGCTCGACCCTTGAGTTCAGGCATGATGGAAGAAAGGTTCTCAACTGCGGTTTTGTTCGAATGTGCCAAGTTCACATCCACCGCTGAGTGGGAGGAATATGCGAAAAGAGTTTCTTCACAAGGTGCATGCATGGACGTCTTCCCATCTCATATATATACATGGACCTTGAGAAACGGTCCTTCTGGAAAGCATGGGTCGCGATCGCGAGTTTGCGGGGCCCCCTTCCCCATGGGTACGGCAAAGTCATACATATCCCGCGGGTTTTGGTGGCCTCTGGGGTAATGCTGGGGTCTAGCCCGTTTGTCTAACGCCCTAGAGGATGCTACATACGGCAAGTGTCGATTCGAGGCGGTGATCGAGTCAGTCGCTAGTAACCGGGCTAGTTGGGTGGGCGAAGCCGTTCAAGGTCATGGTATACTAGATCGTGCTATCCACACGCACATGCTAGGCGTAGGAAGGTTTAGATGGAGGCTGCCCGCCATGTCATCCAGCCAACTTAGTTCCGAACGCGTATTTGCACGTAATGATTCGGCCCTAGGGTAAAGCCGTTTTTTTCAGCCAACCAGTGCTCGTGGACTGCTTTACCTGCCCTCTATTAATCTGACCGACGCAGGACCGAAACTCCGGCGTTGCTCTGGGTCCAGCGCATCACGAACCCTTCCAACCCCGTAAAAAGCCTGCTTCAAACGCCGCGCCGACCGGCAAACTAAAGCACTTAGAAGAAGCTTTGTCGGCGATTGAATCATCAAAAACCGCGCCAGTTCGTCCCGTCGCGTGATCGTTATCCTGCTCGTTCAAACGCCGACTCAACGCTCGCCAACACGCCCGCTCGCGTGTTATAACAAGTTGCCCTCTTGCGAAAGCTGACGGTCCGGGGTAAAAGCCTCAACCGACACGCACGACCGAAACCTTATTCCTACACTAATTCACCCAAATCCGTCTAGTGCATATCCCTAAAAAAAAACACGTTCCTCAGCAATGAGTCCCAATCCCTCGTGGTTGCGGATCTACGACGAGGCAGCCAAAGATCTCTTCAGCCACGACCCCAAACTCGAAGTGCTACTCGAAGATGACAAGTGCCCGTTTGCCCACGAAGCCGGCGTTTTCATTCCTGAGGAAAACTGCCTTTTCGTGACGAGCAACCAGTACCAGCACCCTGCTACGGGAAAAACCCACATCCACGTCTCGCGCATACAGCTGCCTGCGGATGCCACCAGGACCGACGCAAAGTACGCCGAGGTCAACGTCAAAAACGTGCACATGGCCAATGGCGGCGTAAACTATCAAGATGGCATTCTATTCTGTTCGCAGGGCACACTCGATACACCCGGCGGCATAGCCTACATGCGCTGTTCAAATCCCCTTTCCTCGTCATCTACTGTTACTACTTACGAAGCCAAACTTCTCGTCAGCGACTTCCACGACCGACCCTTTAACTCGCCTAACGACGTCGTCGTGCACTCTGACGGCTCAATTTGGTTCACAGACCCCAACTATGGGTTTGAGCAGAAGATTCGGCCCAAGCCTAGACTGCCGAATCAGGTGTATCGGTTTGATCCTGCTACGGGGGGTATACGCGCTGTGGCGGATGGGTTTGGGAGGCCAAATGGGATTTGTTTTAGTCCTGATGAGAAGGTTGTGTATGTGACGGATACGGATTGGATTCATGGGGATGGGTCGACGGATGATGCGAGGGTGTCGCATATGTAAGTTCTGTATTCCACTTTACCTTTTTTTCCCAGGGAGGAGTGATGTTAGTCATTCTCACTGGTTTCTGGGTGCTGTGATGACAATTTTCTGACAAGTGGTTGTAGATATGCGTTTGATGTGCAGACTTACTCTGGCCAACCGTTTTTGACTAACCGACGGCTATTTGCCATGGCCGATACTGGTGTTCCGGATGGCATCAAGTGCGATTTGGATGGCAATGTCTACAGTGGATGTGGAGATGGACTGAACATCTGGTCTCCCGGTGGTGTTTTGCTGGCAAAAGTCCTGGTTGACGGCGGTGTCGCCAACTTTTGTTTCGGTAAAGACGGACAAGTCTTCTTGCTGAACGAAACCAAGCTGTGGAGACTGCAGTTGCACCAACGCTGCAAAGGCGCGTTATTGAAACTTTGAGCTCATGCGTTTCTCGACCGTTATCACCTGTGCTGCTTCTTAGCGATCAGATTCTTTTTCAACAGCAGGCAGGCCGTTCAGGAGTTTGGGTGTCGTACATACCATCTTACGCAATTTACGACAGACACGATCCCGTAGGAAGCCACTGCTATTCAGCAACCGCTTTGCAAAGTTTGTTAGCTTCAATAGAATGATTCCAATATACTACTGTTATATGATCTATTTCAGAGTTTGTCATGGTCAAAAGAAAGATACAAGATGAGCGCTACGAACACTCTTACGATTCAAGTGCGATGGAAGGCGATTGAACAGATTCGTAGCGCATACATAGTAAGAAAGCCTGCGTAAGCTAAAACCTTTTTCAGAGTCACGCTAGGCACGATTACCACCCGTTCTGGCATTGTATGATCTCACGAACAAGGGGGTTGGGTGCGTACGAACACCCCGCACGTAAACGTGCAACGATCGGAATGTGGGGCTCGTAGAGAGTGCCTTGTAAGATGTCATTGTCATCAATGGATTGGGCCTTAGACTCGAATACGATCTTTCTCACGCATCGCACACCATTTTACGGGCTTGTCATGTCGTTCTGGAAACTGCAAGTGAGCTCATATTGGCGCAACCCGGCTCGTCAAGTATCTAGGTGTTTGTTTTATACAGTTTTGGATGTTGGAGTCGTGCCGAAGATGCCCGAGGTTATAATGTATGATGCGATTACGTGTCTGATTTCTTTCACAATTATCTCCATACTTTTGCTAGCCGCTTTTTGTTACCTGGGTTTGCTTGTGAATGCTGTGAAACTGCTAAGACTTCTTGATTCGTGAACCGGTTCTGACTGACTAAGCTCACAATGTATGTTGTACTAACTATCTGATCAATTCGCGCTTTCCAAAATTGCGGTTTGCAGTAGAACTGCCTGGGAAAAAACCACTACCCCGCTACTGATGGAGAAGATCAAACTCGACTAAGAAAGCTGGTCTCGCTTTCATATATTGCAGGGAAGGAAGCTTATTCCTCTGTTATCTGTCTATAATTTCCAGGCATCCAGCCGACAAAGTCGGTCGTTTTTGCTGTGATACAATTCAAAACTACATACGTGCAGCAATTTTATACATTCATTACATTCGCGTTTTACACCATGATTCGCCTTCCAACACTCATTCCAAACCCTCATACACACATCTACTCCGTCTCCCCAGCAACAGTCCTCTTGCCATGCAAGTACTCATAATCCCCCATAGCCTTCTCAACCAACCTCGCCAATTCCTCCGCATCCTCCCTCCCAAACTCCTCAACCCACTTCTCCATCTCCCCCTCTACACTCTTCCCTTTAGCATCCAAGCCCTTTACAATCCCCTTACTCTTTGCCAGGGTAGACAAGAACCTTGCTTGCATCGGGTCCTCGACTACGCGCTCCTCCCATTGATACACGATGGCATCGGGATCGAGTCCTGTTTCTAAGCAGAGTTTGCGCATGGAGGCTGCATCGCTCATGACGTCGTCGGCATCGATGACGCGTGGGGTAATTCCTGTGTTTACGGTTTGAGCAGCATACCAGTCGTATAGAGAGCGTGAGTCGCGCAGCTGAAGCATGACTTGACAGATGGGGTCGCGGGGACGACCTGCTACCTTGACGTCCATTTGTGCGCGGACAAGCGAGGGGAACATGAGGACTGGATGTCTGATTTGGAAGATCGGCTGGAACTTCAGCAGGAAACTATCGGGCAGCGAAGTCGGATTCGTATGAGACGACTTGCTGGGTATGACACCGCGCTCGTGTAGGACTAAGGGTGCGACATTGTCGTCTTTGTAGACGCGGCCTATGAGTTTATCGCCGGCGGAGAGAAAGACTGCATGTTCTTTCATAAACACCTTTTTGCCCTAGACAAATACAATGTCAGTTGGTATCAATTCGATAAGAAGATTGGATGCCTTATCATGCGAGCCAAGAGGGGAGCACGCAATCTCGAGGCTGAGATTCGCAAGAGCCCGTTTACTCCGAATCGCATGTAAATGTCCCGACCATACATATGGCCCGAGGACTCCACCCCAACACAACTTCTCTCTTTCCCTTTTTCTCCCCGCATATCCCCCAGGAAAAAACACCAAGAGCAAAATAACAAAGAAATTAAAACTTACACCCTCCATCGCCCCTGCAACCTCGTCCTGTATCCCCTCAAACCCCGCCTCAAACAGCCCAAACAACCTCTCTCGATCCTCCTCCGGCCACTCCCCCAACGGCCCCCTCTGCAACTGCGTCAACACCCCAAAACCAGCCCCAAACAACTTGTAGCTCGAATACTGTAACCCAGGCTGCTTCCCCATCATGTTCTGGAACAAATTCGACGCCGAGCGCGGATGCGTAATATGATAAATCCCACAAACGCCCTCCGCAGGCGCGGGGGTACGAGTATCATCGGATATAGCACCAGGCATAGTTTCTCTTCAAAAAAAAAAATACCTCTTTGATAAACCAAGAGAAAAAAAGAAAGAAGGACGAGAGATATGAATTTGCAGAATGAATTTGTAACAAGAGAAGGGACTGAGGCATGCAATACTTATACCACCACCACCTTCTTCCCCTCTTATCCAACTCCACTTTTCGACTATTCACGCGCAATCGTCATACCTACCCATCGCAATCACCAAAAATGCTCATCGACGTAGCTACCCGCTACTTGCCTGAACACGCATCATCTCCTCGCCCATTCTGGTAGGCATATTCGGACACACCCTCGGAACCCGAAGACTCCGAATCCCTCGTACGAAATCATCTAGTAATGGGGTGAAAACTGGGGCTGGGGCATAGAACTAGTACTAGGCTCAGGGATGTTTGGTTGGTTGGAGGGGCTTCTACCGCTTAAATGGCGGTACCGGGGTTGTTTGTGGTTCGGCTCTGGAC